TATGAGGTGGCTTGAGGAGCCTTGCACACCCACTCCCAGTGAAACTGGTGATTATTTTTAGAAGCAACCATTGGAAGTCTCTGGAAATAGGACTGGGTTGAAGCTACATGGTAAGGCACATGCTTAGCGTGTGGGAGGCCCCGACACCAAAAAATGAATGAATGAATGAATGAATGAATGAAACAAAATAGTCTCTGAAGAGGCTGGGGATTTAGCTCAGCGGCACAGCGCCTGCCTGGCAAGGGCAAGGTTGAGAGTTTGATTCCCGGTACCGGAAAAAAAACAAAACAAAAAAAATAGTCTCTGGAAATAGTCCTAATGGCAAACAGCAAATAAGGAAACATTCCAGAAACATTCCGTTTAATAAGAACAACGTAGTCTGTAATATCTGAACCAAGATCCATTCCACAGGTGGGCGTGGTGGTGCAGGCCTTTAATCCCAACACCCTGGGAGGCTGAGGCAGGAGGATCACCTTCAGTCCCATGCCGACCTGGGCTACCTGATGAGTTCAAGGCCATCCTGAACTACATAAGGAGACCCTGTCTCAAAACAAAGCAAAAGTTTGAGCCCAGCCCGAACAATTTAGTGAGACTGTCTATCAAAATAAAAATAAAAAAAAAATTTAAATGAGCTGGGGGTGTAGCTCAGTGTGAAGGCCCCGGGTTCAGTCTCCATTCCATCCCTGCAGCTCAGCAGAACGGGAACTCTAGGCTGCCGCAGCCAGGGTGTTCCTCCAGCGTTGCGGTTATAATCCAGCTGGAAGGCCGTCTTCCCGCGGCGTTTCTCAGCCTCCTACCTACCTGCTGCTGAGGCCACACCTCTGCCGGCTGGAGGGGGATGGGGGCCCCTCCTCACCCCGGTGAGTGGGACTTTGGGGCGTTGGACCCTGATCCTCACTCCTGGGCAGGGGCTCGGCGCTAGGAGATGGAGGAGACTGGGGCGCTGCAGCCCTGCCCCACCCCTCACGGCCAGGACTGGTCTACCAAGAGGTGGGGGTGGAGCCCCCGCTCCTGCAGTCACAGCAAATCGCGAACAGAATTTTCACAATTAACCTTTTAAATGACTCCAAAATTGCTGTTGGTGCAGCAATTTGTGCCGCAAGGCACTATTCAAACAGAACTCTCAGTCAACAGTTAGTGGAGTTTGCCAGCAGGGTGGCGCACGCCTGTAATCCCAGCACTTGGGAGGCTGAGGCGGGAGGATTGTTGTGAGTTTGAGACCAGCCTGGGCTACAAAGTGAGCTCAAGGCCAGCCTGGACTGCATAGCAAGACCCTGTCTCAAAACAACAACAACAACAACAAACCATAATACTGTGAAATAAATGAGTGAAAATAAATCAGACACACAAGTGTAAGCACCACGTGGTTTCTCCTGAGAAACAAAAAGTTATAAATTGTAAATAGAGTAAAATAAAAGAGAGGTAACAGGAAGTAGGAAGACAGATCTTTCTCAGATGGAAAGGGGACTAAGAGATGGAGGGGGTGAAGGGGAGGAGCAGAAGGGAAGGGGATGGGAAAAGAATTAAGACGTGTCACATACTGATACAGACACCCATGATGATGCAAGCACTGCAGATCACAAACATGTACTAATTTTAAAAAACAAGCCAGGCATGCTGGCACACGCCTGTAATCCCAGCATTTGGGAGGCTGAGGCAGGAGGATTGCCACAGGTTCCAGGCCAGCCTGGGCCACATAGTGAGTTCCAGGCCAGTCTGAGCTACATAGCAAGACCCTGTCTCAAAAAACAAAACAAAACAAAATAAACAAACCAAGCTGGCTTGAATTTGCCATCCTCCCGGCTCAGACTTCCAGGGTGCTGGGGTTACATTGCAGGTATACACCGCCACAATCGGCCCCCTTTGTTTGCTTGCTTGCTTGATTGAGACAGGGTCTGGCTATGGAGTTCAGGCTGGCCTTGACCTCACCATGTACCCCAGACTGTCCTCAGACTCATAGCCATCCTCCTGCCTCAGCCTCCCAATTAGCCATTATTTAAAAGCAACAAGTCACAGCTTTTTCTTTCTCTATTTTCCATAAAGAGGAATTATTTGTGTGTGAAATATATATGTGTATTAAATATGAAGCTAGGGAGCACACTACATTATACATGATTAAATAAAAAATGTTTTTAAGATTAAGGATATCATTTACTTAGCCTTAACTCCCTGATATTAATAGTCCCTGAAATAAGAGGAGAGGAGTCACTTCTAAGCCATTTACTGAGTCCAACCACATATATTCATTTTACCCATCATAACCATTCAAGTGATAGTTTCCTAAAAATAAACAAGTACGAGCATTTTCACCAACTTGCTTCCAAGAGACGCTAATAATAGGCAGGAGTCCGGAGCTGGAGTCGCAGTCACCAACCCAGATGCCTTTGGAGGCCGAGGCGGGATGAGCCAGGCAGAGCAGCTCTGTGTAACAGGATATGGAGCGCAAGTCAGGGCGGCACTCGCTTGGCCTGGATACAGCCCAATTAAAACATGCTTTATACTCTGCCCAGCCGGAGGAGCAGGGTGCTCCTGCTCAGTGAGACGCTCCTGCCGCCACCAGTGACCTTAGTCTGTAGGAAAGATAGATAAACGTTTATCAGTTTGCATCCCAGGAGGTGTGGGCCTTCAAAACTCTTGCAGCTCCTCAGGAACAGCCAGGCAGTTCAGCTATGAAAGGCGGAGAATGGGACGTACTCTCATGTTTTAAATAAGATGCATTGAAAACTTTGCTATTAATTCAACATCGATAAATAAAATAGGGGTAACTAAATACACATTAAGGCATATCGGTACCCTCTAAGACAGCAGTGTACTGTTTTGTTGTTGTTGTTTGTTTCTGTGGTACTGAGGGTCCAACCTAGGGCCTTGGCAAGGAGCCACACCCTGGCCCTTTTATATTTTTTAAGATAAGATCTTGCTAAGTCACTAAATTGCCCTGGCTGGGCTCAAACTTATGATTCTCCTGCCTCAGCTTCCCAGAGTGCTAGAGTTACAGGTTTGCAGAGGTCACCGCACACAGATAGTATGTTCTTTTTGTATGGTTATGTAAATTATTTTACTACTAGAGTAATTCTGTACTTTTTCTGTTTTTTTTTGAATGTTTTGTTTTGTTTTGTTTGTTTGTTTTTTGGTACCAGGAATTGAACTCAGGACCTTGCACTTGCCAGGCAGGCATTATGCCACTGAGCTATATCCCCAGCCTTAAATGTCTTTTTGAGACCAGGTTTCATTTTGCAGTTCAGACTGGCCTTGAACTCTCAGCAATCCTCCTGCCTCAGCCTCCCAAGTGCTGGGATTACAGGCATGTACCACCACGCCCAGCCTGAATTTGTACTTTAAAAAGTGCTTTAACTCAAAGACTATCCATATATTTAATCTATTAATTTTTTAATTTTTCCTGAAAGAAAATGTTTAATCAAGAAAACTCTATAATAAATTGTAGATTTAAAAATGGAAACCACACTGTGATGCTTTTTAACTCCAGCTATTTAGACTGAGGAGAACTCTCCTATGATAGCCATACTTCCCTAACACCCCCACCCTATGCTGGAACTGAACCCCAGGGCATTTTAATTATTACTCAGAGAAGCAAAATTATAAAAAAATTTATGAATTACAGTAAGTAGCTATGATTAGCTGGATTCACTGGCATTATCGTCAAATATTTTCTATTTGCAACAAAAGTATATGGATCTCTCCAACAATTCCACTCCCAGGTATATACTCAAGAATACTGATGTCAAGTCCACACAAAAACTCGCAGATAAATGTTCATAGCATTTGTCCGTAATAGCTGTCATGGCTGTATCTAGACATCTCCTAAAGGTCTCACACACTCAGGTGGGGATTTGGGGAGGTAACTGGATCGAGGCACACCATACTGGGTTAGACTGGTTCTGGGTTTGGGCGATGGATTTACTAAAGACAGAAGACCGGCTCTAGGTGTGTATGGCACCGTCCAGTAGACTCACAGCCTTGACGGATTGAAAAGGGAAAGCGGAAAGAAATCCTGCTGCTTCCTGCAGGCCACACCATGGACTGTGACTCCTCTGCCTTGCTGTCCTGCTGCCCGGCCTTGGAGCCAGCTGACTAGGGCCTGAAACCTCTACAAACTGTGAGCTACAATAAACCTTTTTTCCTTTCACTTGTGGGTGTCAGGTATTTTGTCTCACAATGGGAATGTAACCAAGACAACAGCCAATAAGTGGAAATAATTCAAAGGCTACAAAACAAAAATCCCCCACAGAGAACAGATAGTACATGAAACATGGCTTATCCATATAATGGAATCTTATTTACTATAAAAAGGAAAAAAGCACTGGTACATGAAAGCCACATAGGTGATCCTTGAAAACATCGTGTGACATGAGAAAGACAAAAAGCATGGACTATCCAGAATAAACAGATCCATCAGATAAATGGTAGGTCGGTGTTCATCAGGGGCTGGAAGTAGGAAAGAACGGGAGTGACTGCTCATGCATGTAGGGTTTCTTTTTGGGGTGATGAAAATATTCTGATTGCACAGCCCTGCGAACACACTACAACCACAGAATTGTATGCTTTACAAGGGCAAGCTAAGGGCCAGCAGGTGCAGCTCAAGGGTAAAGTACCCGCTCAGTGCGTGTGACAGTATGGGCTCAGTCCTCAGCACAAGACAGAGAAAAGGGAGACAGAAGGAAGGAAGGAAGGGAGGGAGGGAGGGAGGGAGGGAAGAAGGAAGGGGGAGGGAGAAAAAGAAAGAGGGAAAAATTTATATGACATATGAATTCTCTCAATAGAGCTCTAGGTATATGCCTATATTCTAAATAGTTTATATTGAATTTCTAAAAGATAGCATATTCTCCCAAAAAGTGTAAGGACCTAGCACAAGTGTGTGAGTGTGTGTGCGTGTGTGTATGTGTGTGTATGTATATATAAAATTCTAAAAATTGTTTTTTTAACCAAAGATTGTTTGAAAATGTAATTCTCCATATAGTTATAAAACAGAAGACAAGATAAAACAATTTCTTTAAACGTAAATATATTTAAAAAATCAAAACACCTAAGAAATGCAATCTATACATATGAAAAAGTAAAATATTTATATGCATAACAAGTAGTAGCAACATTATCCATAAGCAGCAGTTAGTGTCCATTTTCCCCACATTTTGGTTTAACACCATAATGGTAGTTTATTCTTTTTAGGGAAATTATATAAGGTTACATATAGCATATTATGAGCAAGTTATAGAAGAACATATAATTGAAAAATTAATTTCAAATAACAGTATTTTTCCTAAAAACACATTTTTAAAACAAATTAGTTTAAACTAGAGGACAACAAAATGAACTTATAACTTATTAACTTCAAGATATATAATCAACTTGCATAAAATTACGTATGCTATTTTAAAAAGTCTATTTCTAGAATATCAGTAATTCAGGCAATTGGGATTTCCACAGGAGATAAACTCCCATTCGCTGACTTTTTACAAAGAAAAAGTCTACATTAAGAACATTACAACTATGTTAAGAAATGTGATAGCATACTCTAAAAACCAAGTGGTGTAAAATGTTTGTACTGGGTATATAATAAAATGTTATTCTACTGCTTGCCTTATGAAACTTCTTGTTCTTTGTATTTAATAAAATGTTTTTAAAAACTCAAATGGTGAAATATGTTCTTCAGTTTATTCTTTTATTGGTACCAGCTCTGTAACAGCACTTCAGGTGATCTAAACCTAATAATCACATTTCCAAATGGCTTTGGCTTTTATTCTCTTGTAGAAGTGCATATGACATGGATAGTTCAGTTAAGAACTGTAAATTTCCATTATAAATGGGAACCTATTACACTAAAAAAATATAAGAAATAAAGTTCTTAGAATATCTACTACTTTATTCAAAACCTATCTACAGACACCACAAAACCAACTTTGACACACAAGCAAAATACCAAAAATTTCTGACCTGGGAGAAATGAAATAAAACATAGTGAGTGGTTTTTCTCTTCATCTCTAACTGTAAAAATCCCTTTTGCCTATTTATATGACCCGTCTCTATTCATGCAATTTAATGGATCCTCAAAAGAATTTACACGTCTTTATACAGAATTCACATCTACATCAGTAAACTGCCAGTCCTTTTGTATTTTCAGTGCTTTATCAAAATATGGGTAACAAAGTTCTTCATTCTAGGAGGCAGGAAGATGTTTCCTAAGAACTTCTTTGGACGATGAAGATATAGTGTCTGGGAAGAGTACATCGAATTCTATGAGCAGGTCACCGCGCTGGTCAGGGTTCTTTGGAAATGGCAGCCCATAGCCAATAATTCTTCTCCTCATCCCAGGTTTCACGATGTCATGTACTGACATAGGTATGTTTCTTCCATCCATTGTTGGCACATTGATTGAGCAGCCACACAATGCCTGAAATGGACCAAATAAAATTAACAAACTCCGAAACTTAAAAATCTAAGTAAAAATATTACCAGGTATAAAGAATAATGCCATTAAGGCAGAATGTTAACCTCCAAAGAATAGGAACACTTATAACAATGTTTTCGCATTAGAAAAACTCTTCAAACATGTATACTCAGAGACATTACAAAAGGCAGAAAGGAGAGGAAAAGGGAAAGGAAAGAGAAATAAAAGATGCCTTCCACATTGCCCTAGAATAAAACAGGTAATGTGAAGTTGCTATTGTAATATTCAAAATACAGGACTTGGAATGGGAGAAAATGGAGAAACTCAGAAGTGGAAAGAACAGACAGAAGCACTTTGGTTAAGAAGTGTTTACTGAGTGTAACCGCACCACACACGTCCCGTTGAGCCCTAGAAGGACCTGCTTCAAGGAACGCAGTGTTCACAGAAACACACACGTACACTGGCAGTACAGCGCCGTGTGGTCACAGAGGTGTGGCAGGTCTTTTGTGAGGGCAAGGGCACCCACGCTGTCCCCTTAGCTTCTGGGAGCACTGGGTGTTTGAGCTGAGCCTTAGATCTGCAGCAGATATCAGGGCAAAGTGAAGAACAATAGTTCCATAGACCAGAGCTCACACAATGACAGAACTGTACAAGATAATAGAGCAAACTCAGGCAAAGGAAACACCCTTTTATGGAGAAGTCAGATTTAAAATTACTTTTAATTTTAAGCTAAAGTTTGGCCTTTATGGTAGAGGCCACGCAATCCATTCATAAATTTTAAGCAGGGAATTCACATGGTCACATTTTATGAGTTACAATCCAGTATGAAATAATGCAAATAAGGACTCAATATTATTGCATTCTTAACATTACTATAAATTTACAATTTAATATCAATTATTTCAATGCTTTTTGTAATACAGTCACTACCCCAAATTAATAATTTTAGAGTAAATTTTAAAAATGATCTAAACTGATGAAACTACCAATCTCATAGACCACAACTGCAAAACAGTAGAATGTAACCCAGTTTGAATTTAAAACTGACATTTAAATGGATAACGTAAGTAACTAAACTTAGAAAACATAACTGTTATCCACAAAAGAGACATAACAGTGGTGGTACCTCAATTCACAAACTTAATTCTTTCCGCGATTCTGGTCACAAACCCACTGGACGAGGACCGAATATCGACTTTGCTGGTTAGGCTCAATGTTGACCTTGTGGGGAATCTGATTCGGTTCTCACCCAGTTCAGTTTGTGACCAGAATCATGGAGAGAATTGAGTTTGGGAACCGAGACGCCATGCACCTCTACAGAGCAGTTATGCTGTGTGGCGAGCTCTGGGTAATGTTAGACATTATTCAAATAATTTCTTGAGTTGCTCAGCGGCAGAAGTCTGTCTGGCCCAGAATCATAAATTGAAAAAAGAAAAAAATGGTAAAGCGAATGATTTGGAGGTCTTGGGGCTGAAACAATCTCAACCTATTCTGAAACTTTGAACTGTTTTTTACAAAAATCATAACCTCTTGTAACTTACCTCCCGTAAACTAATTTTAGCAGTATAAATTATATTTGATCCATCTCTTTTGAATTTTGGGTGATCTTTGTCTTTAATAATGAAAACAATGTCTGCTGGGATACTATTTGGTGTTTCATCTCCTTCCCTTGGAAAAGTAATTTTGGTGCCTTCTTTCCACCCCTTTTTAATCTCAATGGTCAGAATTTTGTCTTCAGATCTGTAACTCCTTCCATCAGGGTTCAACCTTTTTCGAGAAATTTTCATCCGTTTGGTGCAGCCACTGTATATTTCCTCCAGTGAGACTCGAAGTTCGTGAATAACTGGAGGGTCTTGTTTAAGACGGGACGACCCCACAGAATTCCTGTCTCTCGGATATCCATTCATGCTGAATCCGAAGGCACTGAAAGGATCTCCATCTATTTCCATCTCTTCAGAATCTCTGCCACCTCCCATCCGTCTTCCAAAGAAAATTTCAAAGGGGTTGGAACCTCCAAAAAATGCTGCAAATGTGGCATGAGGATCACCGTGAAAAGTGTACCGGAAGGTACCTCCTTGTCCATCGGTACCTCCTGCTCCTCCTTTCAACCCTAAGAGAAGAAATAAGCATGATTTGAAAATAGCTTGCAACTTGTTGACAGTTAAGACTTTCAAAACTGTATTGCACAGACAGGCATGGTAGCACACCCCTGTAATCCTAGGAGGATTACAGGAGGCTGAGGCAGAAGGATTGCTTTGAGTTTAAGGCCAAACTTACTGAGCTACACAGTAAGTTCTAGGCTGGCCCAGACTACATAGTGAGACCCTAGCTCAAAAGAATACAACCTTATAGCTAATAAACTCTGGCCTATTTAGGTTGAAATTTAGTAATGACCAGAAATGCCATAACTAAATACAGAACAGCTATGTCTCATTTCTTTGTGCATCTACACCCCACTCTTTTTTTGGGCAGGGGGGTCAGGAGTGGGTGCTGGGAATCAAACTCAGGGCCTCATGCTTGCCAGGTAGGCACTGTACCACTGAGCTAAATCCCCAACCCCCTACACTCTACTCTTGAGCACATCCTAAAATCTCTGCCTAACAATATCTGTGCCTTCCTAGCAGTCTAAATAATATGATAAAATAAAAACAGAACAGCTATGTAACTTCTGACAACTCCATCAAGTTAAATTTTTAGTTTTCAAATTCTTCTTCTAAATCTTAAGCTTTAGTAACTTATTCCTGGGCTGGAGATGTAGCTCAGTGGCTGACTGCTTGCTTAATATATGCCCAGGTTTGATCCCCAGCACAGAACATACACATATAACAATAATAATATTAATAATAATAATATTGAATCTTTGTTTCACATTTAAAAAAAAAAAGATAAAATCAAGACTCTCTTATCTCACAAACTGCTGGTCTGATGGTACTAAAGCACATAAATTTAAATTTTTTAAAAATGCCAGGTAAAGCTGGGCATAGTGGTACAGGCCTACAATCCCAGCACTCAGGAGGCTGAGGCAGGCGTATGAGAACAGCTTGGGTTACACAGAGTTCAAGTCCAGCCTCAAAAACAAAACTAACTAACAAACAAAAAAGTATGCCGGGTGAGAAACAACAGCAAAAGTCAGGTGAAAGGCCTTCAGTAACCAATGCAACAGGCAGACTTTAAATCTTTAAGTACCATTATAATCAGTAAGTCTTAAAGCACCAATAAATCTTTAAGTACCATTGCAGTAAGTACCACCAATACTATGTAATACATATTCATACTGAATAATTTTATTTCAGGCCATCTCTTATTATTGAAGAAGTGAAGGGAAATGAGCAGGAGGCTGGAAGTCAGAGGTCAGCCTAGCAACTTCGCAAGACCCTGTATCAGCATAAAAACAGACAGCTTAGCAGCACAGCACTTGTCTAGCATGTACGAGGCCCTGTGTTTAAGCCCCAGTACTGGGAAAAAATATTAAAATAGAACTCTTTCCACGGCAGAAAGTGAACAAATCATAATAAGGGCACCCTATGAAAAATGCTTTTTAGACACTACAATTGTTATTCCCATCCAAGACACCGAAACTGTTTATCTAGGTAAACCACATGATAGCATTAATTCAAAGCATTATCAAAACCACCGAAACCAACAGCTGCAAATCCTCTTGCTACACAGGCCTTTGGAAAGGTTATTTCTGTCTATTGTGGACAATCCACTTCGGACAGTGGTATAGTAGCCCTTTGTTCAAAGGCTCAACTATGTAATATGTAACTCACAAATAATATATCTCTATCTATCTACCTACCTACCTATCTACCTGAAATAGCATTTCCACTATATGCTGAAGGAAGATTCTATCAAAACCCACACTAGAACAGCAGAGTACCCTCTGAAAGGATCGGTCCTGAGAGGAAGGAGTTCTATCCTCACACTCAGCAGGCTTCTGACAGAGCTGCTGGGAATCCCTAACCAAGGAAACGAGGATAACGAAGATTTGAAAACTGAAAGATGTAAAGTTTAAGCTGGGCAACTCTTTTATGCCAATGTACATTCTTTTATACAGGGAACAACTTGAGGGCAGGAAATACATTTTATTTCCTGCAATGCTCATGTATACAGGGCTAAAAGTGACAGGCTCCGGTGATTACTGAGTGAAAAGAATCAACTAATTCTTGAAATCCTAAATCAAAACTCAACAGAAGTTTTGTTTTGTTTTGTTTTTTTTTTTTTGGTACTGGGAATCAAACTCAGGACCCTTGTGCTTTCCAGGCAGGCACTTGTGCCACTGAGCTATATCCCCAGCCTGAAAGAGGTATCTTTAAGTATCAGTACAGAGAAGGCAGCACAAAAGCAATGCAAAATATAATCACGTATGCACACAAATAGATTTAGTAATTTAAAGTTCCCTGCAAACTCTTCTCATGAATCTTTCAGAGAGACTTAGTTGTGCTTATTTCCTTAGTCTCCATTTGGCTTCTCCCACGAAAAGATACGTCGTGTCTGGATCATCTCACAGAGGCTCGAGTGATGCCTAAATTTTTACCTTCCTCCATTAATAAAAATCTGAAGAGACGATGCGAAACCTGATAGTTGGAAAATGGTCAAAACATAGATTGAATGATGTATCTAAAGACAATTAGAAAATTCTTTGTAGAAACTGAATGCCAAGCATAAGCAAGATAACAACTTTTAACATGCAGCTCATCCAAATCTCCCTGTTATAATGTTAGTAGGACAAATATAGCTCCAAATGTTAAAAAGCTAATGACAGATTTTTTTAATGATAGAATACATATATGACTCAAGGCCAAGCTGAAATCATTTCAATCATTTTATACTTTATCCCACAGATTTCTTAGTATAGAATAATTTATCAGAGTTAAGTGAGTTGGAAGAAAAGAGAGAAAAAAAGATAGGAAGAACAGAAAAGAAAAGGGGTTTGAGACGTAGCCCAGCATGCTAGCGTGCATGAGGCCCTGGGTTCCAACCCCAGCACCACAGAAAGTAATTAAATAAGCAAATAAAGAGGGAGAGACAGATAAAACCTGAGTAAATTAGCTTGCACAATCTAATTCTCCACAAGATAAAAAAATGCTTTGGACTCATAATGGCTTCATGAGAAGAAAGAACATTAAAGTTATTACATCATGAGTTTGGCTTTTCCCTAAAACTTCTTCCTTCTGCCAAAAATGGTAGCACATTCAGGATTACAGAGTCTGTGATAAGATTCACACAGTCTGAAGTGACTTCGTATTTATCAAAGCTGACAAAAAGCTGCCAATGCAGCTTTGAGGTTTTCCTAGACATTGAGCAGTCGAATGTGCAGCTTTAAGAATGAAGCTTCTCTAATGACTGAGAAAATGCTATCAAAAGTCATGCCATTATTATATTGTGAATTATTACACAAGAACCGCTGGCATCGCCTAGCGCTGGATTTGTAACCAGCATGTCTCAGCAACTACAGCTCTTCAGCACGGACTGCTGTTATTTAAAAACTGATCAACCAACCAACTAACCACTCCGTGATCCAGAAGCAAATGTTTTTGGAATACTGTCTATAACAATGATTTTCATACTACTAATGGGACTAAAAGTTCAAAGTGGAAACGCTGGAGAGTTAGGACTTCAAAGAATGGAGTACTTTAATAACTTCCTTTCAGGAGATCTGATATGTACAAAGTCCACATTATAGTAAGACTTCAAGTACAGAATAATTAACCCTTCAGTTTTATCCACAAAATCCAAATGACTTACATTCTTAGAACACATATTAGAGATCCAGTTGATTAAATATGTAAGTTAAAGAACAGAAATAGCAAACTAGTACAATGACTAATATACTAAATATAATTTTGACCATAATCTTTCAGCATTTGGAGAAAATACTGAGTAATCTATAAGCAATAAAGCAATACAAAGAAGACATAAAGAAAATAAAACGTTGCAGAATTAGAATAAATAAGGATGTGTTATTTTATGCTCTTTCCTTAATCTTGTAATACAAACTTCTTTTCACATCTACTGAAACATTCAGAACTAAATCTAAAACTTTAGGTGAGAAAGTGGGTCAAAATCCAATATTAAATTTCAGTAGTTCTGTGGGTTTTTTTTTTTTATTTATTTAAGAAGATTCAACTATGGAGAAAATTTTTCCTTTTTTTTTTTTTCTTGTTCGGTTTGAGACAGAGTCTCCCTATGTAGCCCAGGCTGGCCTTGAACTTGCAGATTCTCAAGTGCTGGGATAATAGGCGTGCACCACCACACCTGGCAAAATTTATGTAAAAAAAAAATTACATACCAGAAAATTAACCTCTTATAAATATATAGTTCAAGTGCACTAAATTTATAGTTATGCAACCACCACCACGATGCATTCATGGAACATTTCTATCATTCCAAAAAATTCCCTATCCTATTTGTAGAGAATCCCTATTCCTACCTCCAGCGTTAGCAAGTAGAATTTGCTTTCTCTAGATATAAATTTCTCATGCCCTTCATGGATATGGAATCATATACTATGAAGTCATCTCTATCCGGCTTCCTTCATTCAGCCTACTGTTCGAGCTCCATCCATGTTGTGGTGTGTCTCACTGAACCAGTCCTTTTAATTGCTAAATGGTACGTACTGCTGTTTATGAATTTATTTATTCACTCACCAATTGAGGGTACTTGAGATTGTTTTCTTTTTTGGTTATTTATTTTGATTGGGATTGTTTTCAACTTGGGGCCATTACAAATAATGCTGCTACTAGCATTTAGGCACAAATCTTTTCACATGGGCCTATGCTTTCATTTCTCTTTGAGTCCTAGAATTGTAATTGCTGGGTCAGAGAGGTTAAAGCTACCTATGTATTTATTGGCACTAGGGATTGATCAGAGTCTTCTCACTGAGCTACATTCCCATTGCTTCTATGTTTTATGCTGACACAGATTCTTACTAAGCTGCTGAGTTGCTCATGCTGGGCTCAAACTTGTGATCCTCCTGCCTCAGCCTCCCAGAGTTAAGATTACAGGTGTGCACTGCCATGCCTGGTTTAACATCTCTATTTTTGTCCAATTAAAAAAAAAAATCTTAAATAGCAGATACTAGCAATTTTCAGAACATGAGTAAACTGTATCAGTGGTTCTCTTAATCCTTAAATACATAAATTTAGCACCAGCTCATACACTTCTCAGTTCACAGTTCCTTACTTCCACTGCCTCAGCTCCAAGTCTGCAATAACTGAAAAGAAAAAGTATGACAGGTAAATTAAGTATCTTCACTGTCCTAAAATTCAGTGTTTTGTTACCATTGGAGAAACCCATAGAACTGGTCCTGTAGACAAAGACAGAGCATCAAAAAGCAAAGAAAAAAAGGCTTCCCTCACTCACAATGCACTAAAAGGCTTTTCCTTTTCTTCTTCTTTGGGAGAAATTGAGAATTGAACCCAGGACCTTGTGCATGCTGGCCAAGTGCTCCACCACTGAGCAACAACCCCAGCTCTTAAAGGGGATTTTAATGAGCTGGGCATGGTGACATGTACCTGTAGTCCCAGCAATTTAGGAGGCTGAGGCAGGAGGATCTCAAGTTTGAGTGCTGCCCAGGCAAATTATCCAGACCCTACCTGAAAGTAAAAAATAACAGGGGCCGGGATGTGGCAAAGCACCCCATGGCTCCATCTCCAGGACTACAAATAACAACAGAGGGGGAGGAGACGTGAAAAGAATGAAGATGTGTGATACACATTCCCCATGGTTAATGTGATCATTATGTTCTCCAAACATGTAGTAGCAAAACTTAAAAAAAAATAGTAACAATAAAAGCAAGAAAAATGTATCATCTGGTAACTTGAAATCTCTGAAGACAAACATCCTCAGTAAATCTGAATCCTATAACTTAAGTCACAGGTAAACTTGGGCAATCAATGGGCTATGGCCAAATATCTTAGATTTAAAGCACTGGATATCTGCTTTCTTATGAGAATTTACAGAGCAATTCTATGGATTTCTTTACGAAATCACCCAAAAAACACCAAAAAACCCCGACCTCTTTAAGAAATAGTAGTATCTCAGAATTGCTGTTTTCGAGTTGGACCAAGTCATGGCATTTTGAGTAGTCTGGCCACTGGGAACATGCAGAATCAAACCACCAGCTATCTGCTCTGTCAATGTTTACTCTGTAAGAACCAGACACTGCAGATCCTCACCACACCAACATCAGCAGCATAATTTTCAATTTTTGTAAGGAAAGAGAGCAAAGGGCTAACAAAAAAGTTTTCAGATCTATTGCGACTGAAGATATTTTGAGAGAAGTTAATAATCAAATACGTTAGATCTGATTTTAAAACGTGAAAAATCCCAGGACCTATAGGAATTAAAGGGTTTGGCTGCCGTTCCTGTTAATCAGCCATTTGAAGAGTCTTACTTCCCAGCTGCACTTATATGGAGATGATGGACAACTCTTATTTAAAATCCAGAATGATAAAAGGAGAATCTTAAATTACCCCCATCTATTGTGTTCACTAATTTCTGATTTTACAATGCAAGAAACAAAAGTATGTCAGGGAGAGAGAAGGGAAGTTGTCCTGCTTTCTGCTACATCTAGATAGTAAATTTTGAAAAGAAATACTTACCTAAAAGAAAATCAGTGATTGTTCAACAAGGTGGCCATTTTAGGTCAAAAACTGTATTTCTGAGATCTCATTTTCTTGGCACACAATTACTGTTTACAATTAAACCAAAAACTTGTTCTGGTATTTTATGACATCAGGAAAATTCTTTCCTCTCTAGGCAGAATGCCAAAAACAACTAGAAGCTAAATGCCTGCGCCTTCTGCTTCTAAGACAGACGGCTCTGTCCTGTTCGGTCTAAACCAGCCCGGCTCTAAGACAGAAAGGCAAAAAACTTCTTTTTGCTTCGGGGAATAAAATATCAACTACCCAGAATTTGAGCTGCCAATCTCAAGATTTGAAATGACTGAAGGCTCTCTATTCTGGCAGAAAATTCTCTAGAAAACAAAACAGGTTGCATAAGACTTTTGACACAATTCACTAATGGGTACGGCAATTCAAGGTTTCTTTAAAAATATGTAACGTTAGCGTCACAAGCCTGACGGTGGAATATGTGTAACACAAAATGCTAAATCCCCCTCAAAAGGCAGAGAAGGTCTTTCATTTACATCTATGCAATTCTCATTCATCTAATCAGGGGTGAAATTTTGTTTCCATCTATTATCTGTCTGTTTATGACATCTCTGGGAATCTGATGATAACCAGAAGGCTGTGAAAGAACGCCAAAAAAAGTAAATAAATAAAGGCAGTGCAGAAGGGTCAGAACGATATGCACAGAATACTTACCTTCTTCCCCAAACTGATCATATATTTCTCTCTTTTTAGGATCACTCAGTACTTCATAAGCTTCTGCGACCTCTTTAAATTTTTCCTCTGCCTGAGGAGATTTGTTCTTGTCCGGATGAAATTTGAGGGCTTGTTTTCGGTAAGCCTTTTTAATATCTTCATCTGAGGCTCCTTTTTCAATTCCCAAAATGCCATAATAGTCTTTCCCCATCTTGAACGCCTTGAAACGAACTTAGCTCTCCCTTTGTAAAAGAAAACAGCGGCCCTAGTCTTAGCAATTCAGTGATTCTAAGGACAAGAACCCAAGCTGGGTATTTTAAAAGTTAAAGCAAGCCGGCAATTCAGCTGGCGGTCTGAAGGCAGCAGCAGACAGCGCCTCCCTATTTACTGTAATTCCTTCCGCAGCGGCAGCTCTTACAGATAAATACACGCTCCGCCGGCGCCGGCCTCCTGGACCCTCCCCTTCCACTACGCGTCTCCGCACTTTCTAGAACAGCAAATGCTCAGGACGTCACTTTCCCAGCTGCCTCTAGTCAAAGTACTGAGCTGTGTATTCCCCTCCTCCGCGATTAACTATTCATTTTCCTTCTGGCTGGGTCTACCGTGTTTATAGCCTACTTAAGAGGCCAAGTGGATTTAACAAACCAGTATTTCACAACAGAATGTAAAAAAAAAAAGGCACAACTACATTTTTATTTACTCCATTCTAGTTGGAAAAGCAACAAAAATAATCACTAAGCAGCCTATGTCAAAATAAGTTACGAAGTTATCATGTAAGCCAAAGTGCCTTAAACTTATTTAGGTGTTTTAATTTTAAATTATTCAATTGTAAACACTATAGATTAATTTTTCAAACGTCATTTTCAAAATTCTTGGAGTGTGTTAATCAGACATTTGAGGAAGTCAGTATCCTAATTTCACACTGTAAAAAGGTTATCATAAAATTTAAAAGTAGCATTTAAAAATAAAGACTTAAATATTATTTTAAATAGTTTTTTGTAGTATTCAAGATAAAATCGTTCTAGGAAACTAATATGTATTTGTAAAACCTTAATACCTGAATATAGTGACTTCAAATGAAACAGAATGAGACCTTACCCGCTCAAACCCCAGCTTCTAGGGTCAGTAAACAACTTTCGTGTTGCTGAGAAGTTAGGAAAACAGAATCAGGTGCAGGTAATACACACTGGTGCTCCTTATAAGAGCTTAACTGGATCAACTAAAAACTCAAACTCTGGATATGCTACTTAAAAATATTTTTTCTTTTAAAATACATTTTGTTCTTTCCCTCTCAGAGAGAGAGAGAGAGAGAGGGAAGGAGAGAGAGAGGGAGACAGATTTGGGCACACAGAAAAAAGAGTAAGTCTCCCTATGATACCATTTTAAGTAATCTCTGTTAGTGTATTTCCTTCTAATCCTTTTTCTTTTCCAAAAAAATACGGTTATTTGCTGTAGTTTTGTATTTTTTAAAAGTTTATTTTATTTTTGAGACAAGTTCTAGTTCTCACTATGTAGTTCAGGCTGGCCTTGAACTATGTAGTCTAGGCTTGGTCTCATGGCCACCCCCTGCCTCGGCCTCCCATGCTGGGAACATAGGCCTGTGCCACCACATCCAGCCTTTATGAACAAGTTTAAATCACAACAAGTATATTTATATACCTACTGATGCCTGCTTTTTTTCCTAATATAACATTTTGAATACTTATGAGACATAATTTTGATGTGTGTAACTCATCTTTTATCTCCTCTGTGGCTTTCTCATCTTTTCAAAACTGGTCCCATATCAGGAATTTTTTTACTTTTGGGCTGAGGATGAAATCAGGGTCTCATACATCCTTGGCAGATGCCTTACCACTGAACTGTACCCCCACCCTCAATCCTAACCCAGTATGGGAAAGATAGATTAATAAAAAAAAAATCAAAAGAATTGTACTTGGTCTACACAAGTGTCTGTAAACTTGAAAACAATTTTTATGCGAAGGAAATGGACATGTATGTTTAAAATATAAAGAAAAGGTGATGACCATGTGTTAACCTTTAAGACAGCAGTGATGATTCAGCATTTCCTCCTGAACAGTTCATCTTTGCATATTTTAACAGCTATAATTTCCTAGTTCTCAAAACCCTCTACGTTAAAAACACCTTGGTATTAGAAATTTTTAACATGTATTTATCCTATTTTAGATCAGGGGCTAGTTAATATGTTTTTTAGTCTTAGCTAGGAATATTCAATGTCAAAAGATACTTTTCAAATCCAAAAAACTTGAAGAAAAATGTTAATATTGACAGTCACCGTAAGACTTCTACTTTTAATAGCTGGAATTCAGTTCAAGGATCAATATCTGAAGTAAAGACAGTAAAAAATCATCAAACAGAGTTAATTTTCAAGGCAGTTCTTTAAATATTCAATATCAAAGGATTACTGACAATGGTATGTATGAAAAAGCTGAAATTCTGGTTGGTAATGGTAGGAGGGGAAATACTCACCTGATTCAATCATTTTCAGAGAATTAGATATATTATCAGGACATGACATATCACATTATTTTAGAACTCAAAGACTAGGTCATTCCCATTTGTGAGAAATGAATTATATACTATATTCATATGGAAAGAAATCTGGCTCACTAGACATAAAGAAGGGTGAAAAGGTATTCTCACATTTGTTAAAATGTCACACACACACAGCAGAATCATAGCGGTAAGGTTGAAAAGCAAGGATTCAGGGCTGGGGATGTAGCTCAGCGGCACAAGCGCCTGCCTGGCAAGCGCAAGTTCCTGAGTTTGATCCCCGGTACCCCCCTGCCACCAAAATAAGTCAAAATGAAAAGCAAGGATTCATCTCAGCTTGGACATTTCAAGTCAACAGGCAGATATAATCTTGACAAGACTATTAAATAATAAAAGTCTGGGTAGGTTTTGCTAAGAATGAGTGGATACTTACACACTTATAGCTTTGTAAACCATTCCTTCAAACTGTGACAAGTTATTAAAAGCCATTAAATATGATTTTAGAAGTTCTAGACACATCACACCTGGAAATATATCCTAAGAAAATAATTGAAAGACAAAAATGATTATATATACAAATGAAATTCAGACACAAATTATTAAATATTCAAATATACTAATTAGAAAAGATAGAATAGGGTAATGGATCAATATGATTACTAATGGTACAGAGGAGACTCCTACTCTTGCATTCACTGTTTCAGACTGAACTATCTCTTACTATGCTGAAAATCCATTACACAATCATCTTACATTAAATTTTTGTCATCCAAGTTTGTATGATGTGAATGCGGGGATCTTTTGTGGGGAGGAATTCTCATCCTTGCAAATAATCATGACAAAAATAGGAAGTGTGTAAAGGGAACCTTAAGCCAGGCATGGTGGCTCATGCCTGTAATCCCAGCACTCAGGAGGCTGTGGCAGGATC